GTTAAATAAGTGTTGTACATATGCATTAAATGAATTTACAGAATCGTTCACGTTTTCGCACATGAGACGCTCTCATGCCACGGCCTGTACATCACGATTGAAACAGTCTAAATCTATGTCTCTGATCGGCCTGAACGTAATACTTTTGGGTAATGGTTTCGATTTCTTGACATGTAAATCACATGTTATAAAAGCATGGTGGCTAAGGTTGGCCACATAATCGACAATTACGTTAGATATTTTCAGACTACTACAGACCAAATCTATAAGTGTCCCTGAGTGTTCAGTGAAATGTGTAGCCTGGGTAACATACTGCTGGAGATCCATGTACTGAAGGAATTCAAAAACTTTTTTGTAAGTACGATTAGATCCACCTTAAAATCTCCCAAGAGGATGACATTATCAGATGACGAAAATGAATTTATGGACTCTGTCAATGCGTCAATAAACATATCCAAACCGACCCACTGTGGGCGATATGCGGTACCAATTGCTAGTTTTTGGCCATTAACTGTAAACTCGAGCCACATTTGTTCAACAGGTGGTGTATGGGGATGGTGTATCGGCCTTGCACATATTCCGCGTGGAAGATAAAACCCTACCCCTCCACCACGCGAGAAACGCCATTTGGGTCGTAGTATATGGCGCAGGCGGTAACCACGAGGAGAGGGCACGAGTGCATCCTCCCCTCCTCTCAACCAGGTTTCATTAATTGCCAGAATATCTACTGCGTGCCGCTCCAGTGCCACCAAAAATTCATCATGCCTCGTGTGCAGAGAACCGGCATTCAATAATCCTAACGATACGTGTTTGGCCTTAATAAATTGTATAACGAATGAAAAAAGAATCTGGATGTACTTGCAATTCAACAAATATCTTTTAAGTAATGTTAAATGACGCTTGTCAGTAATGGATAATATTCCTAAAATAGATAACATAAAATAATTTGAATTGATATTTTTATAGCTAGTACAATTTGAAGATAGAGTATTGGAAATCAAAAAATTTAATTCTGCTAGACAAAGAACATTAAGCAATCGAACAATTAGACTAATCAAAGTAAGCAATAAATAACACAACACACAATACATCACAAATAAGCAAGCCTAAAAGTATAATACCAGCTTGATTATGATAATTACTTATCCTCTTAAAATTTAAAACAAATATAATCTTTAAACCGTAACAAAAACCGTAACAAAAAATATGTATAAAAATATGTGTGCAACCAGAAGTCAAAGCACAGGAATAGTACAGAGCAATTATCACTAATATAATAATCTAGTTCCATGATGAAATTACCTCTCCGCAACAGAGAACGAGAAAGGAGAATGCAGAGACAAAGCTTACAATGACAATGTACACACTCAGATGGGGATGCCAACGCGAGAGGCTCCAAAAACCTTGTCTATATCGCTGTCCGTGTGAATCCGGTGACGTTCCTTTCCATGCTCCCTCCGAGCGAAGACTCTACCGCCGCGTGTCCATACGTACGTCCAATTCATTCGACTTGCCACTTCCCGCGCCCTCTGGAATAACTGGCGATTATATCTAGTAAGGCGCTCATTGACGAAAAAGATACTCGTAGCGCCGGGCAAGCCCATGTCCTCAGTGGAGAGGTGACGACGAACCCTTGCAGCTTCGAGAAGCGCGTCCCGTGTTTGTCTACGAGCCAATCGCACTAGTATTCGCGGCCTCGGCGCTTTCTCGTCTGCCAGGAACCCTCTACCCTCGGTAGTGGTCCCAATTAAATTTTAAGAAAATATTCCATCTCTAAAGATCGCAAACTAGGGGATGAAACCGTTTTCATGCACTTTCCGGTAATCGATTTCAATAAAACTTGGCAAATAGATGTAATTCTACATTCCACGAACTTTTGAAGTTGGTTTTTTTAGTAGGTACTCTGTACTGAGATTGCTTATTTTGTATACTCAATTTTTATTAATGATTTATTACATCCTTATTTTAACAGATATACATAACTAATAGAACTTTCACATTCATGGCGATACAAAATACAGGGAAAATTAATGAAGGCAGTGAAGCAACCTCCAATATTTTTGATTAAGTAAAACACCTGACATAAACTTTCAATTTCCAGGAATATTGAGTATCTCTCTATTTCTGAATTGATCCTTTTAATATTACTTATTGCTTTTTTGGAAAACTAAGAAATTTGTTAATTAACCACTGTTGAAAACTTTCAGGCATTGGGATCTTTAACAAGTTGTAATAAAGATTATATCTCCCTGACTCAACTTTATACAGTTCCTTTGGATTTTCATCCAATAAAGCTTTCATATAGGTTTCTATTATACTTTCATCTTTTAAGGAGTCGTAGCAGGTGGCTTTGTGACTAACAGTAATCTGCTCAGCTTGAATATTGCGCGCATGACCTGTGAAACTCTAAAATGATCGGGTTATCTAAAGCTTGTAACCCGGGTTATCGGGTCACAGGGTCTGGTCGAATCATTTTGATTCTATCGATCACGATCGACACACGTCTAATAGGTATCCGATAATGTCATTGTAAACATCATTTTGAGCAGATAATTGATTAATTAGTATGTTTTTTCTTGCTGGTGTTTTGTGAAACCAATGCTAAGTAGTCTGTAAGCGTTTTTAATCTTCTTCCATAAAACTTTTTTTGCTCTTCATCAAGGTTCTCTAGCATTGCTAAACTTTGTTGTTTTTGAGAGCTGAGCAGATTACTGTTAGTCACAAAGCCACCTGCAAGAAAAAACATACTAATTAATCAATTATCTGCTCAAAATGATGTTTACAATGACATTATCGGATACCTATTAGACGTGTGTCGATCGTGATCGATAGAATCAAAATGATTCGACCAGACCCTGTGACCCGATAACCCGGGTTACAAGCTTTAGATAACCCGATCATTTTAGAGTTTCACAGGTCATGCGCGCAATATTCAACTTTATCGGTATAATTTCAGAGATTATTCAATAATTCACATAACACTCATTTTGGAACTGACAATATTATTACTCATATCGAGTTCTTAGGTTTTCGCGATTGTTACACATAGTGATCACGGTTGACTCAACCGTGACTATGGGACCTGCAAAGGGCCCCAAACGTCGGTTTAATTGAAAAAACAAATATAAGCGATTTAAATCCGAAAAAATAGTTTCATTTCCAATATTATTATTCGATAGAATCTTCGTTCGATCGAATCAAAAAGTCAAGCAATTTATTTTATATATAATTTAATTTATATTAACGAGTTAACGGATCAACGGTTGAATGAGTCTCTCAATCATTCATCCTAATTGTTCCGTGACGTAGTGTCCATTACATGGTTATTTTGTAGGTTTAATCTGTTTTTCGGTATGTTGTGATTATTTATGAGTGCACTAGTTGATATTAAAATATTAATGAATTAGTAATTTTGAATGCTCATAAGTTTTTTGTTATGTATTTTTACTTTGTAGGTGTTACTTTTCTTAGAAAGAAATTTTAGTGTCGTAAGTTTATCAATGATGCATTTAACTTTAAACACATTACTCGTCAGCAGGAAAGAATAAAAGCTAATTGTATAATTTGACACTTTTAAATTCCATAATATGGAAGTATCGTGAGTGATCAGAGTGATCCGCTAAAAGATCGAACATATCGCACTACTGTTACAATAGTGTTGTAACTCAAAATAATATGATGAAAAACAATAAAATTAAAAGATATCTATTTAACTCAAAATGAGTCAATATTTTTGATAGTTAGGTCTGGCAAAACAATTCTTATTCAAAAACATTAAAATATTGTTTCCCTGTTATTTTTAAATATATTTGACTAGTAGGAAATTGTTTAGCTGCGTGTTATATATACACTGTAAAACTATATATTAGTAGCAATAGAGTGCATTTCGAACTAATGCATATGAATACGTACCCGGTACAAAAGCGACAGCAGTCAACCCATGATGATAATGTTCAAGCCGTAATGCCTTAGTCCAAGCCAGAACAGCAGCCTTGCTCGCGCTATAGGGCCCAAAGCCAGGTAACGGTTGCAGGCCACAGTGGCTTGCTATGTTTATTATTCGAGGACGCAATTTATCTTGCTTCTGTGAAAATATTCGTATATATATCAAACTTTATAATATCTGATCTTAGTAGATGATTGCTCGATGATGCACGGTTTTCATAAGGATTTTTTAACGCATACATTCATAGCCCCGCACTAGGGAATCCTGAGTCGTGGGTGCCATGAACACACACGTAGATAACCACAAATTACACCCAAATTCACGAGATAAATAAATGTAGGCCTTAAAAATATTTCACCCAACCAGGAACCTCTGCGTGGTAGACCAGCATGGTAACCGTTCGGCCACAGAGGCAGTTGGTAAGTATTTATCGTTGGAGAAAAGATGCTTTTTTAGGTACCTACCTCGTTATTAAAGAGGTTGCCTAATATAATATGGAGGAGTAAGTTAGTTACTTACATCGATAGCAATTCTTCTAAGCTCTGGCAGAAATGCGGAGGCTACTCTCATGGCTCCTAGTAGGTTCACGTTTATCGTGTTTTCAATTATCGATTGAGTTTGCCATTCGTAGTCGCCTATAGTCATTATCCCAGCATTATTGACTACAGCATGAAGTTCTGAAACGTGAAAGTACCTATTTATTATGTAAACTTCTAAATAACGAGTGGCCATTCTTACTTCAAAAATAAATAATCAGGCTATTGTAGACGCCTAATACTTACTGTACCCAGGGTTATCCTTCACCAGAGTATCAATATAGTCCTTAAATTCTGTAACACTTTCGGGTTTAGTGACATCCAGTCCATGCGTATGAGCACTCAAACCATTTAGCGCTTTTGCTGCGCGGGACTCTGTTCCTCCATACATACCAGCTACTGTAACTAAACCTTCACGGGCTGATCGTGCAGCAACGGCCCAGCCTAGGCCGCTATCGCAACCAGTTATAACAACCACCCTTCTTAACATTTTATCCGTCTGAAATAAATTTTAGGGAATGTTTAGTTTAAAGTTAAGTGCTTTTTAATTTCGATGCCCTTACCGTTATAAGATATTTGTGCGCAATATTTATTACTTATTACTTATAGGTACATATATACTCCCATCATATTGATTATGGCAACCAAGTGGATACTGTGTATACAGATTTCAGTAGCGCGTTTGACAAAGTTAATCATTGTCTACTTATGCGAAAACTTGAAGCTTTTGGCTTAAACTGATGTCTGTTGGAATGGCTTCTTTTTTTATTTTTATTTATTTAATTTCCTTAACAATATTCTTTGTGTTGGAAAAAAGAAAATACAATTACAATTAAAATCTAACATCATATCCAAATAACCAAACGAAAATAAATTAATATATTAACTAGTCATTAGTACAAAATAATTATAATAATACAATAACAATAACGATGTCAAATTAAATGTCATCGGCATGGTTCAATACAAATTAAATGCAAAATAATAACAATAATACAATAATGTCAAATAATAATAATCAATAACAATGTCAAATTATGAATCCTTATCTTCGTTAAATACAATTTAATTTAATGTCACAACAAATTCATCAATACAATAAAATGATTTTTCCAATAAGAAACGTTTCAAACGCTTTTTGAAAGATACGTGATCTTGTACCATTTTAAGTTCACTAGGGAGACTATTATATATTTTTGTTGTTTGGTATCTAGGGCTATGCTTTATAATATTTAACTTTGGAGCTATTACACCACGTCTATCCTTTCTCCTAGTAACAAGCCTGTCTGACTCGATCTCCTTGTTAAATTCAGACGAACATTCAGTCACGCCTGTTAACAACTCCAAAATATAGAGACAAGGAACTGTTAATATAGATAGCTGTCTAAAATAAGGTCTACACGACTCCCAATGTGGAATTCTAGCTATGGTTCTTATTGCTCTTTTCTGAAGAGTGAAGGCTTTCTTTACATTATAGTCATAGCTGTTACCCCAAAACCTGATGCTATATCTTAAATGCGACTCGACTATAGCATGATAAACCATTTTTAAGTCGGCGACAGAGGCTTCATCCCGCAAGGATCGAAGAGCATAGCAAGCTGAACTTATTTTATTTTCTAATTTACTAAGTTCAGGCTGCCAATTTAAATAAGAGTCAATGTAAATTCCCAAAAACTTTACAGATTCTACCAATGGTATAATTTTATTTGTCATCATAATGTCCATATGGTCGTGGTTTCTAGCAGTTGTTCGGAACAATAATACGTTTGTTTTACTCGTGTTAATGACAAGATTGTTATTTTTGAACCAAAAATCGAATGTTGAAAGGACCTCATTAGTTTTGAGCTCAAGGCTTACTAAATTTTCAGCTGTTATGACAGCGTTGGTATCGTCTGCAAAAACTACTAATTTTACATTTGAGAACTTGTCTTCAATAAATTTAATTAGGTCATTGGTAAAAATAATAAATAGAATTGGACCCGAAATAGAGCCCTGTGGTACGCGACTTTTAATTTTAATTGCCCTTGATTTGCACTGCACTAACTCCTCAGACTCAACACTATTGACCTCCACAAACTGGTATCTGTTATTAAGATAAGACTGAAACAGTTGCAATGTTTTACCCCGTACACCATATAGTTCTAATTTTTTCGCCAGAGCTACGTGATCTATTGTATCGAAAGCGGAACTCAGATCAAGAAAAAGACCAGAAACTTTCTTTTTCTCGTTTAGGGATACTATAATGTCATCAATAAGTGTGTGCACTGCGTCCTTCGTACCTCTATTTCTTTGATAACCGAATTGTCTTACGTTTAAAATATTATTCCTTTCAAGATGATTCAGTAAACGAACCTTCATGAGCTTCTCAAGGATCTTCGCTAAAACTGGTAACAAAGATATAGGTCTGTAGTTCATTGGATCTGTTCGTTTGCCTTTTTTATATATAGGAACAATCTTTGCTATTTTCAGTTGTTCTGGGAAAACTCCCTGATTATAGCATTCATTGTAAAACATAGACAGTGGTTCTGCCAGGATGTCTACATTATCTTGAATTACTGTAATGGGCATTTCATCATAACCAGATGATTTTTTTCTCTCCATCTTCCTGAGAATCTTTCGTATCTCAAACGGAGTAATTGGAGTCCAACTCATGTCTTTGTTAATAATTTCTATATTACTGGCAATTCATTCATTCATATTTATCGGAAAGATATCAGTCTATCGTCATAAGAGGTTTTGAGTTTAATGCATATCTCACACAATCGGATGTATCGCTGGGTTCTAATCGGGGACCACTACTTTTCATTTCATATATAAATGATATCGTCCCTTGTGTACAGCACTGCAGGTATGCTCTCTTTGCCGATGATTTAAAAATTTATAAAAGGGTGGAATCCTTGGACATAGCATCGAACCAGGAAGACTTGGACAGGATTGAAATGTGGTCTAGGTCTGACGGAATGTGTTCATTCGAAAGTGTTCATACGTTCGCTATTCTAGGAAGGTAAATTCTATTCCCACGAAATACTAAGTCAGTGATCAACTTTGAGAAGAATTATGTGAAGTATAAGATTTGTGTATCATCATTGATAGTAAACTGAAATTTACACCACATTTCAACTATGTTACTAAGAAGGCAGCTTAAATGTTAGGTTTTGTCAAAAGAAATTCACGATCGTTTGGTAGCAAAACCAAAATAATTTTATTTAATACACTGGTTCGCGGTCAACTTCAATATTCTTCTGTAGTTTGGAACTCCGGGTATACGGTGCACTCTCAACACTTAGAGACTGTACAACGAATTTTCACAAGACACCTCGCCTTTCTTTCGCGGGATATTTCCCTTATATAGGTGTCCGTATGACCAGCGTCTGGGGTTTTCTAAGCAGTGCGAGATTGCCGTAGGTTGCATGATGCACTATTTTTAGACAAATGTGTCAACGGTACCTTAAAGTGCGAGGAGTTGCTTCCTCGTATTTCACTTTCGGTTCCTTATAACTTACCCCGGAAGCCCATCACTCGGTTGTTCCATCCACCGCTTTGAACCAATGTTGTCAAAGATGCCCCTGTGTCTCATGTTTGCTGCACTTGTAATGAACTCAACGCTGTACCTAATCTGGACATATTTTTTGATTCCTTTGCAAACTACAAATTTGTCATATTAAAATACATATCTGCGACCGTACACGATTAATTGTGTGATTGTTATTCTTTTAATTATTTATTTTGGTTATGATGATTTAAATTAAATTTAATTGAATTTCTTTTTTTTTACTTTCAATATTCATTATACTCGTACTTTAATTGCCATGTAGGTGTAGTCATTGAATGTTGTATACATCTGTAATTGGCCTGTGCACCGGAGTTTGTTCTCTTTAGTTTTAAATTGTTTGAATGTATTAATTAATACACATGCTGTTGATGTGCATTATGAAAATAAATTAATAAAGAAATAGTTAGTTTGTCGTATGCAGCTAATTCTCACACAGGAAATACTGAGTAAGATGAATGAAATGTTTGAATGACATGTGAAATGAATGAAATGTTTTATTTGTTCATTTTACATGGCATAATTCAGGGGCTGATGTTTCTTTTTAGGATTGATAGGGCTTGTGTCAGGAAACGCCGCTCTTCTTTAAAATTAATAGGCATACATTGCTCTTATATTATTTACACATTATGAAAGAAACTACTTTAATTTCTAAACTGATATAGATAGTAAGTTATGATTAAAGATCAAAGCGCTTGTATACCTAATTTGCGCATGTAGGTCAAGCTTTTACCGCATGTTGTTAACAACCTATGTGTGTATCAGCAAGGGGAGATTATAATTCAAGTTTACACTAGAAATGTCCTTCGAACGTAAAATCGCCGGTGGCGATGGTTTTTCGACCTGAGACGGGTGATGGGGCAGAAAAATACTTACTTTAGCAATGTTTGTAAAAAAACAATTCACATAAAAATAAACGCTGTTAATTTAAATCTAGCATGAATAGGATGTATGTACATAGAAACACAGTAATTAACTAATTTTCTCCACGCGGATTTTACGCCGATCAAATTCATCGACAGCGTAGAAAAATCGTAAGTAGACGCGGCGTGGCGTGGTGTGGCCTGGCGACATGTCTAGACGACTTTATTAGGTCATGTATTGGTAGTTATATAAGAAGTAGGTAAAGATTGAGAGAGAGGAGAGGTTCTTCTGTAAACTTTCTATGTATGTACTTACTTGATTTGGTAGTATTGTACTTTGCAGATATTGTTGAATTTACACTAAAATGTATTATTTAAAATGTTGCAGACAAGATTATTGCTAGAGCGATACCGAGCGAATGAGACCCGTTGCATATCAAACAGGTTTCGGATTTCGTTGCATATTTACAATGAATTTCATTATACGTGTTTGTTTGATAAGGTATTTTTCTGTTGTTTTTACTGCAACATCTAATAAACAACTGTCTTGTGGACTGTTCCAACAGGATAAGAAAGCTTTTACATTTATTGTAATGATGAATGATGGCAATCGATCTTTTTAAACTTTTTTACTCACCATTTAGACCTGTATATTAAGCATACGTACCTACTCTACAAGCGTCAACCCGCTTTTTTTAGTTTAGAGCGGAGAATGTACAGTACAAGCGCAATATTATTATATTTCTTATCGCCAATGTATGTAATCCGCTAGTCTATTCAATACTTCGATATTCTATACAATGCCTAAAACAGTCAGTCAATGTATGAAATGATCTGATGACGATGATGATATTATATACTTGGTCTAGGCTTTTTATACAATGTCGAACGTGTTCCAATTCCAGGAAATTGTGAAAGGTGCACAAAGCAATGTGATAATAAGAAGTGCTTGTGTGTTAATTAGAATATTTTATGTACGTCCCAATAGTGGATCTTGTAAGAATAAGTAGATAATTAGAGGTTTTTTCTTTTATATTTCCGACCTCGTTCGGAAACGCAAATAAATTAGGTTCTGGTTCAGCTTTTTAATATTACTAACCTAACCTAAACCCACAGGAGGGAGTCGAAACAGCTCAGAAACGCAAACAGAAATAACTGATTTGATTATTTTCTCTTTCATTTAATACTTTGCCAATTCTACGACTGGCAATATATACTATTGTGTATACCCAGACTATGATATGTCCCACCCAGATATGTCCGGGTAATGTGTATAACAACTAAAAATATTAACTATTTTATACATTACCTAAAGGAATGATATAGGTAATCTACTTCTATATTGGCGTTAACATATTTTCATTAAAATAGTAGGTAAGTGAATAAGTAGACATCTACAATACTAATAAGTAGGTAAGTACTCGTTCTTTCTTGCATACATTATTACGGTGGCGGTGATTGGTTTTTGTATGGGGTTTAAGAACTCTTTTATAATTCATGTGTTGAATAGCGGTCATTCAGTCGACACACATAAAGAGAAGCACACTCTTGGGAAATTTGCTCACCCTCGATCGTGTCCTGTCTACTTATAGGGAAGCAAAAGACTATCGCTTTATCTTTCGAAAGTTGAAAAGGTGCACTGCATATCCATTGCATATTTACGAAGGTATTTGGTATGGAAAAGCTACTATGACGCAGTAAGGTATATCGAAGTTTTTGGAATTTTCTGATAAGATCGCATAAAGTATGGATCCTTTTATAATACAAATACAAATACAAAATACAAAATAATAGTGTTTGTTCATTTGAGAGTTCCTCTTGAGGAGGATATTTCGACATGGATATAATAATAGCTTGGGGTAAGAGAACCTGCGTTTAACGAGGCTCTTATTTTACTGTGATCTTCTCAAAATAAGCTTTGTGGAATTTTTAGGATGACTGTGGTGGCTAGACGTCTGTAATGGATTTTAATTGTTTCATAATTATTATTATTAGTTATTACGCAACGACGACCCACGCGTTCAATTTGTTTGTCATTAAGAATTAATGTTGTTTTAGAATAATATCTTGAGATGTGTCTTGCTATTACGTGGGATATATCCGGAATCTATTCATTTACGTCTTTCCAACATGCCTGCTGGTAATCTTCCCATAATTCGTCGTCATTCATCAAATAGACGTCACTTCCGGCACGTTCATCTGTTACGTTTCCTTTTGCTTTTGACTAACAATTTTACGAAATTCGTAAAACGTGTTAACAATTTTGGTTTTTGAAAAGTGTTCTTTCTACATGGGCTTAATTTGTTCAGGTAATGAAATTTATTGATGTACACAGAAATAAATAAATCTAGAGATTGTAGCCTACCCAAGCAGTACACCCATATCTAAATATATACTATAAGATATATCTAATAGAATTTAATTCGATTGAATATTTTAAGAGTTCACATTCCCTCAACATATCTCGAAGAAGGTTTCTAGATAATTTAAAGTAAAAGTGGGCACAACTTTATTAGTAATTCACAAGAGTGCTTTGAGAAACTATATGTAGGTAGTGTTAAGAGTGATTCTTATCTTTTTTCTGAAGTAACCCTTCTAGAATGCTACAAGACCATTTGTAGAATGTAGACAATTTTAATTTGGTCTTGTAGATAGTTTTTAGATAATTTATAGTCTATGATAGTTTTCTTAGTAATGCTATTTTAAAACCAAAATACTAAAGCGTTACAAACATAGGACGCAATTCTCTTAATAATAGGGGTTAAAGTATGAAATTGCCGATTTGTACTGAAAATCTAAATTGTTTATTTTTTAAATTTTTAACAAATTTATTTAATCAAAATAGTTGCCATTATTATCTATACATTGCTGCCATCTAATGGGAAGGTTATTAATGCCTTTGCGATAGAACTCCGACGATCTAGACTGCACAAACTGTGTGAAAGCATTTTGTACTGCCTCCTGGGAAGAAAACTTCTTGTCACGTAGATAATTGTCCAAATCACGAAAAAAATGGTAGTCCGTTGGAGCAAGGTCTGGTGAATACGGAGGATGACGAATGGTTTCTAACTGCAGTTCCTGAAGGGTCAAAATGGTTTCTCGTGCTGTGTGAGGTCTCGCGTTGTCGTGGAGCAATAATGGTGAAGATCGATTCATGAGTCGGGGCTGTTTTACTGCTAGTTTTGTCAACATGGTTCGGAGTTCGGCACAATAGACATCTGCCGTTATTGCTTGACCAGATCGGAGAAAACTATAGTGAATAACACCATGCTGAGACCACCAAACAGTTACCATTACCTTTTTATTGGTAAGTTTTGCTTTAGGACACTGTTGTGGCATTTGACCTGGGGTCAGCCATTGCATTTTTCTTTTCCGGTTATCATAAAGAATCCACTTTTCATCACATGTTACAATTCGATCCAATATTCCTTCATTTCTGTACCGGTTCAACAAGGCAACACAAGTTTCAACACGCGTTTCTTTCTGCAGATCAGTCAAATCATGAGGCACCCATTTTTCGTATTTTTTTATTTTATTGATTTGACGCAAGTGAGTCAATATTGTGGGTAAGGTAACGTTAAACCATGCCGCTAATTCCTGGGTAGTTTGACTAGGATCGGCTTCCACTATCTCTCTTAATTCATCGTTATTCACCTGTGTGGGCGGTCTTCCTCGTGACTCGTTCTTTAAGTCGAAATTTCCATCACGAAAGCGTTTAAACCAAAATCGCACGGTGCGTTCATTAGTAGACCCCTCTCCAAACGCAGCATTGATATTGCGGGCTGTTTCTGCCGCGTTAGTTCCGCGTCGGAACTCGTATTCAAAAATCACTCGAATTTTCGCAGTATCCATCTTTCTTGTCTAAATTGAATAACAAAAACAATTGAAAGTCGATATTCAAATGTTTCAAATTTAAAAAAAAAAATCACAGAAACCATTTGAAAAAAGTTTCATTCGAAAACCTCAAACCATGAAGATTCTATGAAAATTCAAAGAACCTATTGCAATAAAACGGCAATTTCATACTTTAACCCCTAATACTAATAGATTTCAAGTTTAATGGCTTACAAAATATAAAGTATC